TCACTTAACTTTCATTCAGGACACATTTTCATTATAGTCCATGAATAATTAATAATAGCTATTGATTTTCGATCAGCAGCAGATGTTTCTAAATTTTAACATCAGAAGCAAACAAGAAATAACCGTGAAATAAACAATTCTTTTGCACTTTTCATTGGAAGTAAAAATATTGAGCTACTAAAATTGAACAACCGTGCATTCTTCTACTTCTTCTAACTTCTAAAAATCCAACTTTAAATAACACTATAAGTAAGATTGACGTCATATAATTATTGCTTTTTGACAACAGTCTCATCTCAGTCTCTGTTTTAGTTTTGAATGTATTTGTTTGTATTGAAAAACTTTAAATATTTTTTGTTGTTAATCAATTATTAACCATGTTTAGTCATCTACAAATTACAGTACATGTAAGGGGGAAGAGGAATTTATGTAGGTATAGCAAGCGCAAACAACCGTACGTGCGTAGCCTTGTTAGTTTATAACTCTCCAGGAGCGGAGCGCGCGCGCAGCAAACGCTTTTATAAACTTAAGGTAATGAGTAGATACAATAGAACTATACATCAGGGGTTCAACAAAGTGAACAGGATATCAACAAATATTATGACATAGGCTGAGAGAGGTCCTAAATTTTGAGACATCATATTTCAAAATCAAATATAAAAGCTCGAAATAAGGACTAATACCGTATTAATACAATACGAGGTCTAAAGTTAGTATTTGGTTTTAACAATAACAGAAGAAAAAACATCTAATTGAGTCTATTTTGGTCGGATAATTGTTTAAACCTGGTACATAATACGTCCTCGTTTTATAATTAGACAGATTGTGACGTTCGAATCCCATCTCAGAGTACCAGGGATAAAGTAGATTTTTAAGCATTTTTTAATAGTAATGTTTTTCGGTATAGCATTGTGAATACGAAATTGTTTAAAAGAAGGGGGCAGTCGCAGGGGGGGGGGGGGGGGGTGAAGAGCGAAGAGTATCAAAAAATCACGACATTCGTGTAAGGAAATTTATGAATGACCCCTTAACTCGCTATCGACCTCTCTAATACTAATATTTGTTTTAAGGTCAAACACTGAGTGTATGCTCTAGATAAGATGTTCAAACTGACACTACAATACGTTAGTTTGGCTTGATCTAGTACAACAAACCAGAATCAGTTTTAATTCCACTATAAAAGGTTCCAAGAAACAGTAAAATAACATAGTAGTAATCTAGAAAAAGACGAAATTTTCTTGGAAGGAATAGTCCCGGAAATTCTAGAGAAATAATCTGACTGTAACGAAACAGACACAAAAGCCGTGATATTATTTTTTCACGAATTATGTAGACGAGTTTTGTAGTCGACATTTATCATTAAGAACGAGAAAATAGTAACATGTTGCGACGTGAAATCAGTATATTGTGATGACTTTATTTATATAAGTATACAAATTTCGCACGGAATATTCTTAGAATAATTGTTTAATTTCAGTTGTTGAAAGACGTATTTACTTGTTTATAGGATGAAGAATGTATTTTCTGTTAAAGTGGAAACTCTAGATAAACATAAATAAAAAAAATATGATAAACTTACCTCCAGTGTAGGTTTTATCAGACATTTAATTTTTTATTCATATTCGTGTTTCAATTTTCAAAAGTGCTTGTAATAACTTACACTGAATAATGAAATGGGATTTTTCATTTATCGTTGTTTTGACACAATACGAACTCACCTATTTAGAGATATTTGAAATACCATTAACATCACTAGCAATTAAAACTAGCACAAGTAATTAATTTTACTGACCTTTTTAACTCGTAACCATTCATTACTGCTATTTTCACGCGCACTATCCATAAATGAAACAACTTTTAAACGGTTTCATCGCGTTTGTATCGTATTTAGATTTATTTGGCGTTTGGCAAACAAAGGAAATGTAGCTGACGTTAAGTATAGGCCAGAAAATAAATCTGCAGTATGTAGACATGCTTTAGGAAGACCCAAGCATTACATAAGATTTGACAATCCAAAAATACTTGCGGTTGAACAAAAATTTATCCATAGAACGACGCGAGGCTCTTGAAATAAAAAAACAATTTTAATAGAGATGAAGGTTGGCTATAGCAACGGCTTGGTATCCAATAATTAGTAAAATAAAATCAAAATCAGTAGTTCAATCTGTAAATATTAAAAAAATGGAGCAATTCACTTTTTTTTGTCGGAGTTTGTTTCTCCAGTTTTTCTCAGGCAAGACCCGTAAATTTGGAACTGGTGGTAGATTACGGTAGCCAGAGGTAAATAAATAAGTCAAATGTATTTTTTACCCGACTGCACAATGCATACAAAGGTAATGTGTTTATGAATCTATGTATGTATGTTTGTTCCTATATGGCATTGTAGAGAATTTTGATGATCTATAATACCTCAATCAATTTGTCTTAACCTTGCGAGTGTCACTAAATACATAACAGTAATCAAAATTCTTTTTTTCTCTCCTAAATGTAAAGTGGTGATGATTTTTTATTTTTTTGATTTCCCTATAGTGTAGGATATTGTTGGAATAGAGCTTTCAAAAATACTAGAAGTGTGCGAAGACCGTTTTTAAATATAGTGAGCCGTTCGCAAATAATTAAGCTTTTAAGTGCCAATAACTACTTTGGACCGAGCTGTGGTTGACTAAAGTTCGCGTATTTTTGCTAAAGGTTAAGCATATGTAGCTTTAAGCCGAATGAGGTCTCTAGAGGGTATTTCAGTAGTTTAGACCACCGCAAGTTGCTAAATAATCCCCACGATATAAACTCCCTCAAGCAAATGACAAGGTTGCGAAATTTACCGTCTTATAGTTCTAATAACGAAGTCAACGTGAATTTTTTTTTTATGAAAAAAAAAAATTATTATAAAAAACAAACAAAAACCAGACTGCGTGATTACAAAAGAAAGAAGTGAAAAAAAAATATGTAATTACTTTCACTAAAAACTAAAAAGAAAAAACCAAGCCCAGTAGCTTGGTATGTGATTTAGTACTACTAAATACCTGCTCCATTGAAATAGTTTTAAAACACAAAAAACATATCCTCCTTCTATTCTGCTTTTGAATTAAGATTTATTTATGTATTTTTATATATTAATATTCTTCTTTCTTTTGTTTTTTTTTAATAATTTAATAAATGTTAACGTTAACATAAAATATTTTTATGTATTATGAATATATCCAAATATTGGTTTGAAGGTAAATTAATTAAAAAGACAATCAACACTTAATCTTATGTGAACACAGAACCTATAAAGGGTCCGAAACGTCAATAAAACTTAATACAAACGCGATGAAATCTTTTAAAAAGTTGTTTTATATATCGTTATAAGTAAAAAGAAAACTTTTATACGTTGAAAAATAAAATTAGTTTATGGACGTCGACACAGATTTCTCGTGTCACAAAACATAGCATGGCTGTACATCATTAGCGGGTACTTTATAGTGTAAACGCGGGCGGACCACTTTAGAACGATTATCTTGACTAATGAGTAAACAGCTTGAGACAGCTCGTGGGTAAAGGCCACGGACCAGAGTGACGGGTGAAGTTTCATACCTTCGTCATAAGTTGATCTCCCCCTTGTCAACTCGCTTTTTGAGGAAGCTTTAGGGTGCGATCTTGATGTGAGTTTAGTTATTGCTCGATTAATCGTTAACGGTTTATTGTTTTATAAACATGTATATTTAAAGATTAAGAGCGTTAAATATTTTATTTGACTTGAGAACATTTGATTTGAGCGTAAAACAGACTGGACTAAACTGGACTAAAATAATAGGTATTGATATATGTTATATTTCTTTAATTAATTATTACATATGCCTTCAATTATATATATATAGAAAAATCAAACTATAAAACTTGTTCCTTCTTCACCTATTTGTTTCTTCTTTGCAAAACATGAAGTATTCAATAAATACTGTAAACCTGACCACAATACAACACTGATAACATGAAATGATAAATTAATATGTAAAATTATCTACTGAATTATAGAAAGAAAGTTTGTTCAATTAAGAGAAAAAAACATCGTGCAAAAGAAGGCATTCAAAATTTGTGATTAGAAAAAGAGTATAAATAGGTGTGTGAAACGTTAATACATCCAAAAACTACAATAAATCACAATTTGTATAATATGAAGTTGTTATTAATGTACATAGGTGTATACATAATTGTAAGTTTCTCCATAAGATCATTAACTCGATTAAATAATTTTAATTTAATAAAATATATGAAACCGAACATGTTCTTTTTTGAAATTACACAATTTGTTTTAATATTGTGTAATTCTGCATTTTCTACTCCAATAATTAGACGTTTTTCTCTATAACACATTCTATTGCGAGTAATAATATTTAAAAGAAAGTGATTCAATGTGTTTATATTTAATATACTGTTCATACTTAGTGACGAGGGATTAATAAAAACGTTAATAACTCTAAGTTAACTGTACGCATGTAATTCTTTTTATCCCTAATACAATCCCAGTATCAAAATGGAATATTTGTTACTTTTTTATTGGCCACAATGCAATGGACACTTTGAATAAAATTACCATTCATCATCACAGAGTGGAATATTAAAATATTCAAAGTAACGTAGTGGGTTTTATATTCATCCCGCTTTGTTTGAACGCATATAGCGAATCTAAACGTTATACTTAAAAAAAATATTTACATCGTCACAACATTATTTTTATGATTTATACCAAATTTTACTTTGAAACATTAAAAAAAATATTAGAAACTAAAAAACTTATATATTACCTATCTTCTCCCCGATAGCATAGATAGTCGATAGATTTTTGTAATAATAAATCTCATCACGGATTTAAAAAGAAATTATCCGTAAAAATAGAAAATAATATTACGCGCCAAATCACCGAGTTTGTTACGTTAAGTGTGTAAAAATGTTCGGTGAAGTAAACATTGTCGTGCAATGCGCAACAGGGTGGCGCGTGGTGCGTGTGCCGTGTGGCATCATACCTGAGGGCGGGCGGCGGGAGCGAGGAGTCGCGGAGCGAAGCCGCCGCGCCGCGCTCGCGGACTGCCGGGCAGCCTGCGAGCCGCCCGCGCTCCCGCCCGCCCTATGGTGTTGCCACACTCACGTTGCGATTTACCTGTTTTATTTGTGAAAAAAGGAATCCACTTAATACAACAAAAGGCAACAAATTCACCGAGCACCCTTTTATGCTGTCAAATTTTAGTTTAACAAAAAACATACTTGAAAAGCTTTTCTTGAATTTTAGTAAGCAATTGCCATATATATATATAGAATTCACATTCGAAATTCACAACATAATTATAAAATTTTATGTTATAATAGTGGTAATGGAGGACTCCTGAATAACAAAAGCAGAACGTTTATTTTAATTTCTGAACGAACGTTAATTTCTGTCAAATTGAAAATACCAAAGATAGAGAACTATGATATTAAGTAGACTCTTACGTACCTACTACATGAGAAAATTGCTTCACCTTGTATTCCGGAAATGTAATATATGGCAACACATAGCCTCACCCTCCGCGCCTCTCCGACCTAGGACCCGAATAATGAAGCGGGGGAAAAGTGATTCTGGGGCGCGGAAAAGTCGGAAGATGCGGCTCGCGCTGCCGGAAGCCGTGCGTCCGACACTGCACCCACCGTACAGTTGACGGCTACCTTTGTGTTTACAAAGATACTTCGTATAAAATAGTATTTACATAATGTATTTGCTTTATTAATTTTAAATCAGACCTAAACTATTAAAAAAACTTTTACTGAGTATGCGTAAGGATATAAAAACTTTATTTCATATCGAATAAAAGTAAAACATAGTGAGAGTTACTATTATTTAACTTAGATTTTAATTGTTCTATGTCCGATGTTCGGGGATTTTCCATTTTATATAGCCGGCAAACGTTTATTCAACGTCTTACATTATACACCACATATGACAGATAATGATTTATAGAATTCGGCAATTGGGTCTATAGTTAGACCACCACAGTGCGGAAAAATCGAAAGAGTTTGAAGTCATAATTCAGCCAAATAGATCACAAACTCATAGCAATTGTATTGTAACGATTATTGCAAATCTTTACAAATAATTGTATCGTTTTTTTGTTAGACACGAACCAAATTTCATTGCAATTTTTTTTATTTAAAAAAAATTACAGTAAAGACAGTCAGATTAACCTGGTATCGTTTTTATATCTATAATTAATCAGTATTGAACCTAGAATATCCAGCCTTAGGGTCTCGATTCTACCTAGTCTCCTCTACTCAGTTTTCAGCTATAGATACATAATTAATCTTTTCGTAAATATTTGTATTTCCGATGGTCAACATAAACCCTCTGTTGAGAACAAAGATTACGCAGCTAATTCTTTAAGCAAATGATTTAATCTTAGTGAAATTAGCATGGTGCCGGGAGATAAAATGCTTCAAATTAATTTCTCGCAAGTCAAACAAAGAAGTTAGTCCAATAATAACGCAGATAAATTTAAATCCAACAACTTTCGGTCTCGAATGGAGCACTGGTCGACTTGAATATTCTGCGAACGTATAGGAAACTTTTCTAATTTTTCATTGGGTGAGCCCGGCCGTGCGGCCCGCGGGCCTAGGACTCGGCAATATTACCGCGTGATCGTTCGAAATCTTTATGAATGTACGCAAACTTTGGACAAATTTGACATTCCGAATGCAAACTCGAATGCCATCTAGTTATATCTACTGAGAAGTTTTTAAATTTTCACACTTTATCTTGCGTGAAATTGATCATCCTTTTTAAATCTTTTTCAGCCTGTTAAAAAGATGTATATCATATCTTATATAAAGTTTTTCGAGAAATGATTGGTCGGTCTTCACTTTTACTTGACCCTGACTTTTACCCAGATAATAGATAAATATGTAATAATACTCGTTATTACTGAACTGAACAGGCTATTTCTTATTTTAATTGTACGTTATAATCCAAATAAAAATTTTAGTACTAATAGTTTCATAGGTTCAATATATTATAGTGATAAGAAAGGTACAGCTTCACTTGAGGTAATATTCTTTCTATTTTCACTACAATGTTGATGCTTTATCTTTTAATGTAAGAAACAATGAATGTGGTTACATGAAGTCTTTTAGCTAATAGAAACGCAGAAAAGAAGCCATCCGTTCACATTATTGTAACTAATTCATGAAGCACTTTTCTTAAATTAAATAACAAACTCTATACTAAAAAAAAAGGAACGTTTAACGGATATAAAGTTTTACGGATTCCCGCCAAACACAGTATGCCAAGAGAATACAGAAAAAACTAAAAGTGCTGTTCATTGCATTTGGTAGGAAGTTATGATGGGATGCTGTCTGTCAAGTCTGCCGGTAAGTAATAAACGTACGTGACAGTTTTTATTACGTGTAACAAGGAAAAAACTTCTTGTTTTCTTTACGGAACGTAGCCGTACAGCTTTAATTTTTTCGCACAAACAATTTTGTGTTTGCAATTTTGTTTTCAGATATCTCTTTTGTTTAGATCTATCGATAATCGTATTACTTAATGGATTACAAAAAAATATACTCAATTTATTTTAAATGAAATCTGTTTTCTATCTACATTATTCATATTTACTAAACTAGCGACCTCCCCCGGTTTCACTCGCAATAGATAAAAATAATAGACTATATATATATACATACATTGCTGAGATGCGGTTAAGAGATAGTGTACTTAATTTAAGCCAATGATGTTATAACGTTAAGCCGTTTTATTAAAACATTTCAATTGATTTAAGAAATTTTTGCTTCTTTGTGTTTATTCTACAAAACAAGATAGGTATTTGCCAGATAAACTCAATAGGAAAGTCGTTTTATGATTTTAAATTCTTTTGTTAAAGAGCCATTTTTCCAAATATATAAAACCATAAATAAAGAATGAATAATAATATTCCGAGCTTATTTACTGCTCGTATAAAAATACATCCGCTTATTTTCTCTTTAGTATATTCCAAATTCCATGACAAAATTCGTATCAGGAATACAAAGCATATAAAGTATTTTGTAATGCATTCATTTTTTCTATTGATGTTTTATAACAACCTTCAAGGTTTCGAATACAAAGTTAAGGCGAAGTTTTACCACAGCAAATATATACTAAGTTTGTAAAACATTGACTAGAGTTAAGGCTCATATTGCTAAAATCTATTCAACAATAAAGTGTATTAAACAGTATAATTCAAACTCTAATATAGCAATGAAGCAATAAGTTGAATAAAACCACTTCGGTACTAAAAATATTTAAAACCACTTCGGTATTTCCAATACTCGTCTAAGTTTTGCCGCGGAAGATTTTCGTTCAAATGGACAACACGCGTAAGTTATGAGAGATGGACACTTGTCTAGAGTAGGGTAGGGTATGGTACAAGTAATAATCATTTTTTAAATATCTTTCTTCAACTACGAGTTTCTTTTTTCTTTCTAAATATTATTCTTTATTTTAACTGTCATATTAACAAAATCGCTCATCACTCGCCCTATAATTAATACAAATGAACATTCGAGTCAGCATAATTTTATAACCTGGCCTTAAGATGTTTACTATATACATTTGAAGGAAACAAAACATCCGAAATGGCACATTACTACCGCCTTTTTCCTTCTAATTGTATTTAAACGAGTTTATTACATATTTTTTATGAGAGTGAAATTACTTTAATCTTCCGGGGTAATTTAAATGAAACGTTTAATTGTAAACGGGGTCTTGAATTGTTACCTTAAATAAACTCAAACACAGTATAATTGCGTCACGTTGAAAATTTTAAAAGAAAACGTTTGATATTAATTAGAAGGAAAGCGAAATATTTATTTCCTTAATAAAGATAATAGTGTGATTTATGGTGGTACAGTTCAGACACACTTCACTGCCCGTCTTTTTATAATTTAATCTATTATATATCTTAATAACTAACATGAAATGTCGGCGATTTCTATAATAACTTACACAAATACTAATGCTATACAGAAATAGCTTTTGACCTACCCTACTTCCCTTAAACTTTGCTTCCCATGGGAGCAACCACTCCTCGCCCTACAGCGGTACCTTCCTCGTAGGCTATATAAATATATATAGGCAAATTGTTGAAAAACAGTGTTTGGAATGAAAATAAACCGTAAAGGTCACGGGTTTGGCGTATCTATCAGTCGGTGTATTTATCTGCTATCTTCGTTATTCATAGAATTTAAAGCGTAGTTTGACAGTATAAAATCTAAATATAGTCTAGTTCGCTAAACATAATTGTTAATATTATCCCATACATTCCCACATTTACCGTCGTATCTGTAGTCGAGAAAAGTAATTTAATTGAGGAGATGGCAAAAAATTAAGAAGATATTTTTATTCTTTTTTTTTTCAGAAGAAGGTTGTATATAAGAAAAATTATAAAAATGAAATTTAAAAATAAGCTGGTATATGGCGGTATGAAGTTAGCAGGGTCAACTAGTTTCTAATATAAACTATTGAGTGAAATTTCCGGGTCACAAAAAAATCTTGATGTCTTCCACAATATCTAACATAGCTCACAGAAGTTGTATACGAAAGTTGTAAGCAAAAGAAAATTTACACCTACTGCAATAGTTAGAACTCTTCTTTATTCATTATTTTTACTTTGTTTACTTTGTCGTTATTCTTGAAAATAAATAAATACCTAATATTTAAAATTCCAAGGGATCCGGAACTTTTGCTCGTTAATTTAGGTAATTTTACTGTTTGGGGGCGAACCGCGCGGTGTATGGCCTCCGGGCCGATCCCGTGCATCGCCTTCCATGCGAGGGACATCGCTGGGTTTTAGTGAGTGTACACCTGCTCTTTGACTAGTCCCCAAGCAGCAAAATTATCCTATAGTGCAGATGTTATAGGCCTTCAGTACTTATAACATTCTCTTAACGGTCATAGTATTTACTGCCACGCTTATAATAGGAAGCATGGAGTCATTTGGGCCTTGTAGTATATCCGCTCTTCTAAATCAACTTATAACCTCTTATAGATCGAAATTAAAGATGTGTTATACGCTTAGGTGCCCTATAAAAGGATGCTGTGGGTGTAAATGTACTCGAGAGTAGATAAACTAGTAAGCTATTCTTATAACTGCTTAAATAACTCATTATAGAACTATTACAAGTAAAGTACGCCAATAAAAGTGCTAAACATACTGGAAACCATTTGCATTTATTACTTGATTTTGTATAGGTTTATAAATCCACTTTAGGCAACAATTATAAGTAAAATGGATAAGTTTTATAGTGGTATAACTTAATATTGTTATAATCACAATACTACTACAAAGGTTTTGATACAAGAATGTATGGGTTTAATATGATCCTGCAAAAGTTGTTATAGTCTCAACCAAAATATTTTAATTCTGATAAATCTTATTCCTTGCCGAACTGCTATTAACTTCTGTTACCAAATGGATCTGTATAAATAGAAACGGCTAAAAAGAAGTGGTTCTTACAAA